CATTTCCAGTCCTGCCTTTGGATGAATACCAGCCCCACATGGAAGGAAAACCCCTTCCTTTTAGTCTATCTCATTTACTTAATTCCATTACATTCTCCCTAATGGGAAGAGGAGATTTGATGGGTGAGATTTATTTGAATGAGCCCAAAGAGGCCCTTCTTTTTGCAAAGCCAGCATCCCTCTAAGTGGTAAAGCCCTGAGTGAAGGTGCATGGCGGCTACTGCTCACCACTGCACCCCTGCCCCAGCTCTGCGCCTGGCTGAGCACGCGCGATGCGCTCAATAAATGCTCGAGGCGTAAGTGAATCAATCAATGGCAGTTGTTTGGATTTCAGTATAAATGGATCTTGGACCTGAGATATTGCCAGATGGGCAGACAGGTTACAGTCTGGTGATGCATCTCCAAGGCTATAAAAATGTAGCCGTTTCTGGAGTCACACGCTGACATTTCAAAAGATGATTATATGCACAATTTAACCACACGGCCACTCGTGCCCTCCAAGTGCCATCGCTTCAACAACTGTTTTCATGTTGGCTTTCTTGCTCATTCTTTTCTGTTTTTAAAGTCAGGCACAGTTCCCCCCCCCCCCCGCCAGCTCCTCTTATTTCCAGCTGAATGTGATTTATTCACATGAAATTATGCTCCATTTTTATAAAATCCAAGTTACTGCAAATGATGCTTGAGGTTTCACAGAAAATATTAATTCCTGATCTGCTGCTATAAAGCATCCCTGCTCGTTCTGCAGCAGCTCTGTCGCTCGGAGACAGATGGAAACAGTCCAAGGGTATGATTAACTTCTCAGTCCCGGCAATTTCCTAGTGCTCCTCTTGCCCTAGATTTCAAGATTGACCTCCAGCTTCTCTGCAAATGCACAGTTGCTCAGCTTGATAAATCACACGAATCCCTTTTTTGATCACAGTTATCTACTATTTACTACTTATGAGGCGAAGTTAATCATATTCAGAGGCACTTCATATGCTGCACACATATCCTTCCTTCTCTGAACAGCGCTTTGCATATTTTCCACATTACTGGCAATGTGGCAGCTTTCACAGTGCAATGAGTATACACCAAAGACACACCTTTACAAATGAGCCTCATGCCCATTTATCCTTATTCTCCTTTGCCTCTCTCTACCCTGTCTGGTACAATGATCCATAAGGAGAAAAAAAAAAAACCAAAAACAAACACTTGGGAGGCACATTCTAAGGAGTGACTAAGTAAGAAGGAGAGTGTCCCTTTGTAGATTGAGGTTTTCTTCTAATTAGCTTGTTTTACCTTATTGAGAATTTTGCTACCTCTTCCTGCCCTGGTCTCCTACTTTTTTCATGATTTGGGGAATCAGTGGGCCTCTGGGTAGGCCAGCTGACGCTCAAAGGCATAAAACAGATGAAAAATTCTACAGTCAGCAGTAGGAAAGAACAACAACAACAAAAAAGCGCCGTTCTACCCTCACGCAAGGCTTCCTGTCCCTGCAGGGTGGCGCAGGTTAGCTGCGCTGAAGCCCAGATTTGCCTTGCAGGGCGATCCAGTCTTCAACACCTTGGCTGTTTTGGAGGAACCATAAATTCAGCCCATTGTTCAGGCAAAACCAAACAAGGCCACACGTTTTCACTGGAGGTGACCACAGAAGACTTTTACATTTAAGTAATGGAAATCTCATAGTTTTAATTTACCAAGGTTGTGCATTGATTGTTTAGGACTCACTGAACTTTAAAGCACAATCTTAACTGTGAGATACTGGATTTCTGCTAGAATGTCTATTTAACCAAGAAACTGGAGAAATGAAAAGATGGACAAGATTCGCCTTCAAATGGCATCTGGATGTTCTCTCATCTCAGACACCCCAAAGGAACAAGATTTCTACCTGCCATTAGAAAGAAAAGGGAGAGGCCAACTCGTCGCATCAAGTTAGGTCTCTAAGACTTGGATGCAGGTTTTCTCAGGGGGAAGCAGAGAACAGCTACTGGCTTCCTTCAGTGTACACTCACACCCACCAACGACCTCAAGGTTATCATCAAGTTCACATCTTGAAACAAAATGGCTCTGCTCCTGTATCAAATGTCCTTGAGTCCACCAGGTACTCAAGGTGGTTAGAAGGCTAACTGGAAGTGAAAGGGGCCCACATGTGACCAAACTAGCAGGACAGGAGACAAGAAGTCCATGGTGGCACAGCCTAAGCCACCACGGGCTGTTCTGCCTAACTGCAGAACTCAGGGAAACACCTTGTAAGGTCTTAAAAGTGCTGCCATTTTCTTTCTTTTTTTTTTTTTAAGATTTTATTTATTCATTTGAGACACAGAGATACAGAGAGAGAAAGTATGAGCAGGGAGAGAGGCAGAGGGAGAAGCAGGCTCCTCGCTGAGCCAGAAGCCCGATGTGGGGCTCGATCCCATGACCCTGGGATCATGACCTGAGCCAAAGGCAGATGCTTAACCATCTGAGCCACCCAGGCGCCCCAGTGCTGCCATTTTCTAGGACAAAATGAAAGTGCTGCCTCATCATAATGGAATTTTATATCAAGAAGTGATAACAACAGGCCGAAAACAATAGTTCAGGAAAACAGAATAGTTTACGTAAATGAACATAGAATAGATTCATACCCTGCTCTAAGGAGCCAGAGATACTGGGGTAAGATCTTCACCTTGGGAAGGGCCACGACTTGGGGGAACTCTTTACTCAATTCCATTCCCACCCTGAGGTGGTTCCTCTGACAGACAGAATATTGGGTGAGACATGCAGTAGTATGACCCAGAGTTACATTCATCATTCTCTAGAAAATACTGGTTTATTCAACAGAATAAGTAATGTGCTAGAAAAATGACATCTATTACTTGGTAAGTTAGCATTCCCTAATTTAAGAAAATAGAAAATATAAATCCCAAAAGCTCAGTAGGTGTTTTAAGTCCTTATTTTAAAAAAGGATTTAAAATCGTATCTCCAAATGATTACAGATACTTCTCACTTCTGGAAATTACTCGTGTGGCCCTGAATTCGTGGAAAACATAGAACAGAGAAAGCACAGAGAAGGTAGCTTTACACAACTGCATTGTAAGAATAGCAAAGTCAACTCATTACTTTAAAATGAGCCAAATCCCCCCAATTTTGAACAGAAAAACCTTCAGACTTAAGGGAGCAATGCTCTATTACATTTAAAGAGGGAGAAATTCATAAGAAGAGAAATTACAATGGGAACCTCTGTTTTTTGGGAATGGACATTTTTTTTCTCACAGTATTCTGCTGTTAGCAGTTATATAATCAACAGGGGCTAAGATGCTAACTTACTAGTTGACTGTTGGTTTTGATGAGGGGTTTTAGAGGGAATATCAAAAAAGTCAAGGGGAATAGTATTGCTAATGATTAAAATCCATGCACGTTTTCTATCCAGGACAGAGTCATGTATGTTTTGGGAAGCAGCCTTAGAATGCATCAGTTCTAGTCTCTGATGATTGGTCTTTGTATTTGCAACCATGTCTTCAAACGAATTCCCCATTTTCCTGAAATAGGTTTTGATTCATTCTACCAAAGGTCATAATGATGTTTTGCATCTCTATATATAGCTTTATTGAAATATAATTTATATACCATAAAGCTCACCCATTTAAAATGTGCAATTTGATGGCTTTTAGTAGATGGTTACGAAACCATCACCATAATCTAATTCTACAACATTTTCAATACCCCCAAAAGAAATCTTCTAACCATTGGCAATAACATAATATTATAAACTGAGGGCCTTTGCTTGCTTTTCAATGCATTTTGTTGAAGGACACTCTTACTTAATAAGTCAAAGGGAAAAAAGACATACGTAGAGGAAAGGAATTAATGTGTCAGATTTTCAATGTTTCGATCCAGAGTGTCTACCACCAGACTCAGAAGCAGTACAGTTATCAGCTTTTGTGAAAATCCCAGAAGCAATTCCCAGAGATCACGTGGTGGCCCCTCTCAGAGCACACAAGCTTGTATGGTTGTCATGGGGAAGGCTTTTCAACTGAAATAAAAATACTCACGCTCAGCCTGCCACCATAGAGAAAATGATTTTCACCCATGAATACAAATAATTTGCCTAAGTGACAGGTTTTACCTTGGAGAAGCACTGAACTGAGCTAGTTGACACAGTCAATTACTGTTCAGTCAAAAAGAAAAAAAAAACAAGAACTGAGAAGAAAAGGAAGGTGGTGACAGTTAGCTAGATAATGCTGAGGTGCCCACCAGCCAGCTAGGGGAACATCTCCTCCAGCTGGTTCCAACACTTCTGTCCCCTTGTGGACAAAAGCGGGCTTCCTCTTCACCTCCTGACAGTTCTTTAAGAAACACACACATACCCCAACCTTAGTAAATGAAAACTCAAAAACCAACCAAAACAAAAAGGGTCTGGTCTGTTCCTAAAAGTAACTCTGTATGTCCCTGTTCGGCTCTCTTTACACACAGCTTTTTGGGCAGAGCAGGATGTGAAATGCAGCTGGAGTGTGTTTAAATGATTAGGTTTATATATCTCATTCAATAACACAAGTCCAAAAACACAAGCCAAAGCCTGGAGTAGAAAGTCAGGCGCTCGGAACTCTGAACTGGGTTACGTGCATAAAGTATTTCAAGGGAGAATTTCATCAAAAGACAGACAGCTCCTGGTGAAGCGCTATGGAAAAAGTCTGAAGAAAACATCTCAAAATAAATGAAGCTCTTATTGTTGAAAAATGAGCTTAGATCTCCACCAGTTCCAAAGTTCAGAATTTACTGCCCCATTCAGGTCTTTTCCTCTAAGTTTCTTGTCTCCTGTTTCATTGCACAACAAGGGGTTCTTCATACTTTCTATGAAATACAACAAGGCGATTTTTGCAGTAATAAACTCCACACATGCATGACAAATCCAAGCATGCAAAATGTTTAACATCCCAGTTCACAGATACTTTAGGGACAAAATCCGATTATGAATTATATGCCACAATAGGGCTCAATGTTTCATAAAGCAATTTATAGTTCATAAAAATGACAAAATGTACCTGTCAGACAGAGCGTGGAGAACAGTTCTCTGGGCTGCCTGCTGGAAGGAAGGGCAGAGATGGTTATTTAATATTCTGACTTTAAACTATGTACTCAGTCAACACTTTTAAAAATCCGGTGTCACATACATTTTTGCCATGTGGCCAAATATTAAACTACTAGCAACACAGTAGAGAGCCCCATCATGTTAAGAAATGAAAGCTTCCAGAAGAGTTGACAGAAGCCCCCGCCACGCACCCCTACCACCAGGGGGCGAGAGCAGGGAGGCACGGAGTACTGGGCAGGTGAGGTTAGACCCGTCTCTGGAGACCAGGAGAGACGATCAGAGCTGTTGCATTTTTACTCTATGACATCGCTTTTCCCATGGTTTTATTCTACTTTCCTGTAAGAAAAAAATCTGTCTTGGCTCCTTTGTAGCTTCTTTCTCAATGAAAGGGTAATTTTTGACTCAGTTTTCAGATTAAACAAGTCACCGCAATTGGAAATTGGAATGCTGACTGGAAACGTGATGATATTATGAGATTATTGATTTGTTTTAGGCATAGTAATGATGTTGGGGCGATTTTTAAAAGAGACTTTTAGAGATCCATATTGACATATTTATGGATACGATTATATGATGTTGGGATTTGTTTTAAAAACAAGACAGTTGGAGGGAAGGGAGGGTGGGTGGGCATTTATAAATGAAACAAGAGGGCCTTGGGTTGATAACTGTTGAAGCTAGGTGATGAGCACATTGGGAGATTATTATATTATTCTGGGCATTTCTGTAATGCTTTTGAAACTTTCCCTACTACCAAAACTAAGAGAAAAAGAAAAGAAAAAGCCCACAATTTCTCCATCAGATTTTCTCAGTTTTGTAATCACTTTCTTTTTGTCAGCCTTCTCTATATTTTTGTACATTGGCTTTCTATCACTGAGCACTCTGAGACTTCAGAAGGCCAAGGTCACACTGTGTTCTCTGTCTCAGAAGTTATAATTGGGAGGGGATCAAAGCATGGCCTGTAAGACCAAGACTCAGGGTGCACCAGGAAATAAAGAGTGCATACAGTTCATTTTCACCATGTATGCTACACATGTCAAGTTTACTGCTTACCAGGGACACCAAAATGTTTCCCATGCTACTCCTCATTCCATTTAGACAGCTGACAAAATAGAATCTTCAGATTAGAAAAAGAATATGACGCATCAGCGTCATCAATCCTATTGCAGAAATGAAATATACCCTTGGTGGGAGCTGCATGTCCTTGGATCAGTCAGTCCAACACTTAATGAATTCCAACTGTGTAGAGACTATTATGCTGGGCTCCAGGAGGGATAAAAACAAAAGCAGAATAAGTAGTCATTGTCTTGGAGAAGTTCCATCCCTAGGTAAGAAGTCACCCTGGAGGTCCAGAGATGACTTGAGGACACATATGAAATAACATGTGAATGAAAAGGTTAAGGTAGGACAGTGTTAGGAAGATGCAGGTCTGAATGACAGCTAATGGTTGGTGGACCAGTAGCTCCTCAACAGTGCCTAGAACTGTTAACATGTGCTCGGTAAATATCCACTGAGTAAACATTTAATGAATGAATCCATTAGGGAATCCTTCCCACTGAAATTTGAGCAGAACTTTAAAGACAAGGAGTGTCTGGAATTGAGTAGGGGTGTTTCTTTGTTTTACATTCATGAGGGGTATCACTACTGGCTTGTAGTGCCTGGGGTTGGGGATGCTAAAACCTTTCAAAGATCAGGAAGGTCCTTCGTACAGTGAGGACAGGTCCCCTTAAAGTGACAAGGGTAGTTCTAGGGAGAAACACCACAGCAAAGTAGGAATGAAAGTAAGATTTGAAAAAAGTCAGATTTGCTTCCGGGCTGGGCAAAAGGAACTGGAAAACAAACAAATAAGAGGAAACTTGATAATTCCCACAAATTACATCACCACACTGATTTAAGAAAAAACATAATCTAACAAAAACCGACAATCTAAAGGGTTACTGCCTCCCCCCTCCCCCCCTTGGTTTCCAGCAAATTAAGGCCCAAATGTCCTGGCATTCCAGTGTCACATAATTAGTCCAAGAGAGGAAAGAATATCCACAGAGCTTCTCTTGGTGAGGACACCAGAGGGAGTAGGAAGAAGCATGGGGGAAGAGGTGAGAAGCCTGAGCTGAAGACTTGGAGCCCTGGAGGCCCCTCCGATACCTCAGAGGATGGGTACTTCCTTCTCTCGTGCTCCTTGCTCTCCCAGAGGGCTAGCCTAGGAGCATGCCCACAAAAAGCACCCAGCAAGGGATAGGCCACCATCACTGTGCCCAGGTTTGTCTCCTGAAGTGTTCTCTTATCACTCATCAAGATGGCTTTCACTTTTGGCAGCTATCCTTGAAAAGAACTAAACTCTCTATTCTTGACTCTGGCTAAATATACAAAAAGAATTTGGAACTCCCCAAAGGAAAGATGGCATGCATTACTAGTACAGTCTCTTGACATCATCTCAGCAGGAGGCACTGGACACCAACTCTTCCTGGAATAACAAAAATCATAAGGGATGTGACTGCAAGTTCAACAGAAACCTCTCACATGGTCTCTGTAGTTTCCCTATCCATGGGTGTCAATGTTTAAAAAGTCTATTGACTCTTTTCTCTCTCCTGCCTCCAAATACCTCCTGCTGACTTTTGTGATAAGGAAACACTGTGCTTTTTGATGTGCAGCCTATGAGAAAATTATTTAGAAAGCAAAAGCAAAAGCAAAAGCAAAAGCAAAAGCAAAACAAACAAAAAATGAGAAATTCAGCCACTCAGCCATCACTGGAGTGATGCATCCCAGGTGGTGGCACCTGTTGAGAATACCTCCGTAGGCCTGATGTTGGCTGAGTCCTCCTCACATAGGCTGAACTAGAAGCTTGGGGCAGGGGCTGCTTTTCCTTAGCAGATGGATATGATGCTGGGGCCCAAAGGCTTTGATGTATGTCACGGACATAGGAAGGTTTAGACATCGGTCATGCCACCAGTCACTAAGCGATGTCTGTCTGAGCCAGTCACTCTTCAAGCTGTCTGCACGATGCGTGTTACCACCCACTTCACGCTGTGGTATTTAGCACACTGACTGCCTGCACCACTATTTTCAATGCCTGGTTTTGATTGTGCTATTTAATTTGCAGTTATTCTACATCATTAAAAACTTTACAGAGGGTGACTCATCATCCATCAAGAAAAGAGATGAGAGTATTTTAACCATTTTAAATAATTCCTTGAGAAAATAAAAGCTTTATGGCATTAGATTAAAACTGTATGTCATATAGCAAGGCAAAGGCCACAAAATTTTTTTTTTTTTTACTGCCTCCTCTCTTAAAAGTAGTTTGACTTTTGCATACTATTTCACTTCATGGTCGGAAAATAATAAAATAAATAAACATTGGAATTAAAGAGCAGAGAAAAAATTACTTAGGTGACTCATGACTGAAGCCTGAAAAACTACTCATAGTAAACTAGATGAATTGCCCAAGTTCCTTCTTTCAAGAGTTGTACATTACAGCAACCATACTTTTCTCTTCCTAAATCATCATCTCCTCTAGTAACTTTCCTCTCATTCAGTTCTCAGCAAAATAGGTTGAGAAGGTTAAGAGAATGCTTCATTGATCTCTCCTGAGTTCATTACTCATTCATGAATGACTCTGAAGCATAAGTCTATGAGACAAAACAAGTTTTCCACCAGAAATAATCATTTTCCAGGTTCTCTCCAGGAGATGACATCTTTTCTCTGTCTTTATTACAGCAAGCTCGGTGTTTTGGAACATAATCAGTAGACATTCAGGTTTCAATGTATGCTAAATGAATTACCAGTCACAATCTGTTATTGAAGGGAACTCAAAGAGGAAATTAAGTGTCCTTCTCGTAACTGGGTTGTGCATAGAACAAGTTTATGGATATTGGAGTAGGGAGGAGAATGAAAGGAAGAGGCTGAAATTCAGAGGGGTCTCAGGATGATCCAAATTCTTTTTTACTTGATAGAAACAGACTAACATGCGGACAGCTCTGTAATTTGATCTGAAATACCTACGATGTACAGGTATGGGGCTCGGCTTGGGTGACAGGAGAAATGGACAAAACCCTCCCCATATTGTACTTAGGGTCTAGAGTGAGTCAGACATGAAAAGTTAAACATATACAAACATTCTAGATGACAAGGGCTATGACAGAAGAGCACAGGGTTCAGCGAAACAGAATATGAAGGAGACCTCATTTGGAACGAATGGTCAGGGAACGCTTGCTAACTAAGTAAAGCACAAAAAAGCTGATGCCTGAAGGATAAAGAAGTTACTGACCCAGAGAAGCGGGAGTGAGTGGGGAAGGAAGGGGTCCAGTCAGGGAAGACAATTTGGGAGGAAAGGCCTGAGGTAGGCCTAGATCCTTGCTCAGCTGAAGAACTATAGGAAGGACACTGTGGGGGAGCTCAGTGAGCAGTGTGGGCAGGGGCATCCCAAGGGCTTTGGAGGTCAGAATAAGGATTTTGGATATTATCCACAGGGCAGTAAGAAGTCATTGAAGGATTTATATAATGGGAAGTTGGGTGAAGGATGTACGGGACCTGCCTGTACGTTCTTTGCATCTTCTGGTGAATCTATAATTGAAAAGAAAGGAGTAGGGAGTGAGGCAATATAATTGACATTTTTTCAGATATCACTCTGGCTTCTGTGTGGTGAATGGATTTGAGAGGGAAGGGACAATGTTTGAGGTTGTTGCAACAATGTGGGCAAGGGAAGTGCACGGGAACACTGGAGACGGAGAGTTTGTGTTACATTCTGGAGGCAGAACTGAGGGAACTGGTGATTGATGGGGTGTGACAGACCAGGGGAGGGGTCACTAATGAGTCGCAGGTTTCTGGCTTGAGCACCTGGTAAGCATGGAGGGCCACTGATCGGGGCGCGCAGGACTGGTACAGGAGCAGGGGCAAAGGTACACTTTAATTTTGGGTGTGTGAAGTTCAAGTTGCTTCTGGGATGTTCAAGCGGAGAGGTTGAGTAGATTGTTGGATACATGCACGAGACTGAAGCTGTATAA